ACAAACAAATAACTATATTACAATTAAATCTAGTGATTATTATTTATTGGATGAAAATTTAATATCAAGCCTAGGACTTGGTAAAAAGTATACCCACAAACATGTTGGTTCAGATATTATAACCAGTAATTATTTTGAAGATAAGTTTACTGAAGTACATTGTAATATAATTGAAAAATCCATTTCTAACCATAAAACTAAGGAATATTTGCAATCAAACGGTGATATTTTATGTGTTATTAAATGTGATAAAAGTGGCCAATATATAGCTAATGATATTAAATTTATTCCTCTAAATATGAATATAACAGATTTTAATCGTATTGAAGTATCTCTTGCAGATCAAGATGGCACTAAAATAATATGTAATGATTTTATTACATATTTACTTCTAAAAACATAGATTCAAATATCTCATAAATTCTATATCTAACGGGTCCCCCAAAAAGGGACACGTTTGTAAATATTTATATTTACATATTTATATATTTAAACTTAGATAATTTTTTAATTAATTTGCGTTAGCAAAGCTGATTTATCTGCGATTATCAAATAATAATATATTCTTAGAATTTTGTTCCTTTGTTTAATAAAAGAAATATTAATTACTGAAAATTTGTTAGAATTTATGGGATTTTGTGATATTAGTGACGCGTGCGTAAATTACGCACATGTTAGAATTAGAAATTATTATAAACATTTAGTCTTATTAATAGTTTTTAAGTGGTTAATAAAATCTGCTCTATCTATTCCGATATTCTTATAACCCCATGCCAATGTATCTGTTTTTCCATCAATTAAATGTCTTTTGTCATCAAACCAGTTTAATCCTACTTTAGTCTGCTTTATAGTATTAATTTCATGTTTTTCACTACGTATCATTATCTGTTCTACATTTTTACATATATTATTTTCTAAACATAATTTATAATCATCATGAGTTATATTATTCTTAACTATATTTTTCTTTACTCCTTTAGCTTTCCTAATACCTTTATTTGAAGCAAATAATTTAATTGAATAAGACTTTGAAGCAAGTCCAATAAAACTTTCAATAATTTTTCCATTCATTTCATCTTTAAACTTTCCCATTACTTTATTATTAATCTGAGGTATACCATAAACATTATGTTTTTCATAATCAGAGGTATCATATTCATCAATATTTGCTTTCATATCTTCATATAAATCTAATGTTTTAATTTCACATACTAATGAATCAGTATCACAATATAATAATTTAATGTTATCTCCATATCTTTCTTTCAGTTTATAAAAATAATCATACATTAAAATCTTTGAAATCTCCAAAATACATACACCTATAAAAATAGGTTGGTTAAAATTAATCTCTGTTCTATTCATTTCAACAGCAGACAAATTTTTACCGAAAAATGTAGATTTTTTAAAATTAGGTTTAGAAACATATTTTGTATATTTATCACCTTCAGATATTAATCTTATATCCACATGTTTTCTTACATTCATCATTGTTCTTCCAAAAACAGAATTATTCATTAATTTATAAAACTCTTTCTCAAAATTATTTTTTGCTTTCTTTCTTAAATTTGTATTTTTTTCAATATATACTCGCATCCAATCAGACTGATAAAAACTAATAACTTTATGAATTTTTCCTAATTTTAAACCCGCCTTCAAAGCTTGCTGTAAATTTAAATAATGACAAACATAATTCTTTTTATCATATAGTGTAGTTAATAATTTTGGTAACTTTTCACCATCAAATATGTTTTCTGGACAATATGGTAGATCATTATGTTTCTTATGAAGTTCTTCTGGATAAATTAAATCTACTTCAAAAAGGTAACCTGTTCCCTGTTTTTCCTTCATTTCTAAATCCTATCCTCATCAAAAAATTTGGATTTTCCCATTTAAAACCACGTTTTGGTAAATATTTTGACATAGCATACCCATATAAGTTATTTGCGTCTAAATACTGTAAAATACAGTACTCTGTAAATACTGTACTGAATCTGTATTTTTATCAAATTTTTTACCCATATATTTATTATTTGCTTCACTATATCTATTTGAACACTGGGATAAACCAACCCGTTTAGCCCTTTCAAACATTAAAAGAATATCTACATCAGTAATTAATTCAATTTTTTGTTTTGTAGTTTTTAACATACAACTCCAAGCAAATTCGGGTGTAGTATAATACCAAGCTGGATCTAATCCATATGTATTTAACGAAGTCTCTCTAAAATATTCCATAACATCAGCTAATAAAAGTACATCTATAGTGTTGTATAACATATTAAATTCTTGCATATTTTTTATGTTGAAATACTTCCAAATTTCTTCAGCATAATGATATTCTCCATCGGTAATATTTTCACCGTCTAATGAATTATAAAAAGACTCTTTGGGAGGTAATTTTGTCTCTTTATATTTATCTAATGAAGACATATAATCGTATGGAAAAGCTAATTTTTTTGTTAATAATCTAAATAAATACTTTCTTTCCAATTCACTTAAATTATCAGGAACAGTTTTTTCAAACCATTTTTTTAAAACATTAAAATTACATAAATTCATATTATTAGCTAACTTAGACAAAGAACTAGGTTGGAACCTATAAGAATCTAGGAACCTAAGTTCAATATCAGAATATTGAGAATACCTTATTCTCTTAGAAAATGAAATATATTTGTCCTCGCTTGTGGGAATAAGATCTATATCACCGGTATCCAATCCTAATTCTTTAACTAATAAATGTGAATCATAACCTGAAAATAACAGTGAGTGTTGTTGAACACTCGGCAGGAACGAAGTTCAGTGCATGTGATGCGAGACGCGGAAACATATATAGTTAGAAAAGTATAAATAAATAGAGATAGAGAGAGAGAGAGAGAGAAATGAATGCTTGTATAAATATATCGCGCGCATGGTAATAAAATTATAATACATTTTTTCTGAGTATTATGAAAAAATGGTATTTTATTTTATAATCATTATAAAAGTACAAAGCAATAATTATGAAATTAATCAGTATTCTCAATAACAGTAACTATTGGTTTGTGGTAGCTGAAATATGTCACGTATGTTTGTGATTGAATTTTTTCTATATATCTCGAAAAAACTGCTTCGTTAGTGGTATTGTATCTTGTTGTAGATTCCGACGGATTATTATTGATGGTTAAGTCAAATTCTACTGAAAGAAATTTTAATAATGATACGGTTGATACAGCTTGTACTCGATTATCGTTTTTCAAAAGTAAATTTTAATTTCATTTGTTTAATAGATTTGTATGTATATACAGAAGAAGGTAAATGGAAATCACAATGGAATTTATAAATTTATAAATTTAAGGGGCAAAAATTATTTTGAAAATAAAATTCTTATCAATTTCCTTATCAATAAAAACAATATTTATGAAAATCAAAATAAATCCCATCAAAAACTCAAAACCCCGAGTTTCCCCTTGGCGAGGTGGGTGTTAGTACTCTCCCGGACCAAAATCCATCAAAAAATCAAAATCCAAAAGGGGGGAGAAGGGGCCCCCGTTCCCTAAAGCGGAAAACTGTAGTCTTCATAATAAGAATGGGTTCCCCCTTGATCCGAGGTCTTTAACTTGAATTCCGGCCGAGTTACACTCAACTCAAAATGTGGGGGGGTGGGGGCTTTGGTTCCCTAATGTTGAAAATTCATCTGGGGCCTAAAAAATTGAGATGCCCATTGGTCCGGGGTCTCTAAGTCGAATACCGGCTAAGTTATGCTTCGTCAAAAATAATTACTCGTTTAGTGGGTCCCCCCCCACTCCGCCTGACGTATACGCGCGTGACGACCGATGTTGGGTAGCCTACGCGAAGGAACCGCAGTGTTGCCGGCAGCCGAGCAGGCAGGCACAGCCCCCCACTCTAAATGTTGCGTTTTTCAGTGTTACGCTTTTCGGTGTTACGCTTTTCGGTGTTGCGATTTTTTTCCAGCGACTCCCATCCACCTAACGCCCCATAAGGAACTTCGTTCCAAAAATTTTGAAAGAAAACAGGAATAAATCTTGAAACTTGAAAAGTTTAATTACAATATTTATGGGCAGGTCCCCTATATAGACCTGTTAAATGATCATGATCTTGAACTTTATAAAGATTCTCTTTTTTATAATCAAATAAATGAATAGTTTTCCATTTCAAGTAACTTAAAATATGGGTAAGTATGCTAGTTAATTTTTCTTCACAAATATGACAAATTGTTGCATTTTCATACTCTTTTTTCTGTATCTCGGTTAACTCATTCATTTTCTTAACATTATCTAAATAATTTTCAGCTATATATATAGCATCTTCTCTTAATTTTTTATATAATACTTTTGGAGCATCTTCACCAAAATATTCAAAAGTTTTTCTTTCAAAATCACCATTGGCATATACAATAATATAAACAAAACTTATTGCAATATGTTTCTGAATTTTAACTGTACTACAATTTTTCTTCCTCTCATTTATCTGTTCTATAACACTTTCAAAATCTGCATAAATAACAAAAGGCACTTTCATTTTATGATTAAAATTTTTAAATTAAATAAGATTATTAAATTCATTCGGCATTTTCAACCGTGATGTCTTATTTAATGCGCAGTAACTCCTATGATTTAACAATTTTTTTTCAGTTTGAAAACTATTTAAACACATTCTGCAAAGATATCTCTTTTTACAATTTTTTGTAATTTGACCCTTAACTAACCCCCATAAATTTTTTATTAAACAATAATGTGTATTATCTCCGTCCTTCAAAAGTAATAAATTAATATGTACTTTTTTTCTCATCTTTCGTTACATATAAGGGGTTTATATTATATTTCTCAACATGATGATAAACATTAATAGATAATCCACCTTCAATCAAATTTGTTTTATTGACACTGTTTAAAAAACTAGGAATCTTACTAACTTCCATTGGATACTCAATATCTATAAACATATAATCAAACAATTTTTCATATTTTTTATATTTTGTTACTCTTTGCGGATCTTTCTCAACTGGATATAAATGAGCCAAAATTGACCATAAAAAAACATTTATCATCATCTTCATTTTTTACATTTATAACTGCTTTTCTGTTAGCTATTTTTACTGGAGTTGGTATATAAGAACTACCCTTTATGGGAGCATATTTATTAATGGCTACATTGAGAGTGTTAATTGAAATTAACACCCATTGTGATCCTCTTAAACTATCTGAAACACGTTCATGTTCATATAATATTTTAGCTTTCATTTCTTTATATATTTCATCTAAATTTGACTCTGGAAAAATATCATAATTCGGTGTTTGCAAATATTTAACTGCTGATTCTACAACATCTATAATACCACCTTTTTCATAAGTACAAATAACACATAAATGAGCTTTTACAGACTTATGTTTTAATAACCATTTCTTAATAAGACCAAAAACAGATTTCTTTGTACTATCTATAAAATCCGGTATATTTTTAATTCCAGTTTTATTACCAATTTCAAATTGAGTATGTCTACTTTTAAAATTTTCTTCGTAAAATGTAGGCTTATAAATAGATTGTTCCTTACTGGGTTGCTCTATTATATCTTCATGAAATTTAAATGGAAATCCTGTTAACCAATAATTTTTTTCTTCGTCAGTTAATTTAAAAATAATCTCTAATCTACTGTCATTATATGATGAATGCTTTATTTTTTCAATTAAAATACTATACAATCCTTCCAAATTCTGAGTAGCAATTTTCTTTCCATATTGTATGCAAAATGTATAGTTTCTTAAAAAATGTTCTATCTGTTTATCACTTTTATTTAAATATTTATTATGTGCTTGAATAAACTTAAACCATTTTGAAACATCTATGTCTTTATTTTTTTTCTCAGTTTTTCTAAATCTTATTGAAACCTGATTATCCATTTATTAATATAGTTTATTGACAAAGTTATTTTTATATAAATAGAAATTTTTGTTTTTATTTAATAAGTAAATTTTTTAATAACGAAAATTATTTTTGAGGAGTGTTCTCTTTACTTATATTATCCATCCTTTTTGAGTGAGATTTAGTTAACAAATGGGCTCTTATGGGCTCTTAAATGCATTACTTGACCACATTCACATGCTACCAATTCAATGCTAACTTTGGTTTTCATACAACTTTTACACCATTTTTGGTTTTTACTAAATTCATTAACACTCTTGAATGTTTCACATTTTGAACATAAATATACATCTCCTGCTTTCAAAGACTGCAATAATACCTCATCTTTATTTATCAACTCATAGATACGGATAATTTTATTATTTCGATTCATTTTTATATTTATTTATATACAAAATTTTTTAATTACATCATGCTACTAATTATGCTTTTGAGTTTAAGTTTGCTACCTAGATCTATAAAAATTACCATTTCAAACCAACATCTATAAAAATCGGAGTTTCAATTCAACATCTACAAATACTGTGATTTCAATTCAACATCTATTCAATATAAACAACATCTCAATCCAATATAAATTAAAACTGTGTAACGTCACAGAATTTTAGGCCTTACATAATATTATTATAGTTCCCCTGAGCATATTATTTTTCATTATTATTATTACTTATGATTACATTATGATATTATTATATTTATTGCGCCCCAATGCATAAATGACCACAATGTTACATAATACCTGACCCCGGCCCCCACAACCCGCAGTGTCCGCCCGCCAACAGGCCGCTGCCGATGCCGGTCGTCACCGCCGCACAGTGGTCTGAAACGTCATTTTACGCGGCCAAAAGTCTATATTTTAAATGTCAATTTTATCTTTTTTTGTAATGGAACTATTATCTGTATACACTATTGAATATTAATCCCGAGTTACAATTTCCTAAGTATAAATTCTAAAGAGCTGTAACATGTTTAGTAAACAATTTCTTTATTTCTATCAATATTTCATCGAATTTTATAGTTTTACTTGCATATTCTTTCATATCGAAGAATATATATTTTTTGATAAATAATATTTTTATATTAAATTGTAAGGTCCTTAGGCTAATATTAAAGACCGAAAATGGAATTTTTATTTTTAACTTTTTTTTTATCATACAAAAAAAGTAAAAAAAAAAGATTTTTTAAATTTTTTAAATTTTGAAAGAGTGCCACTTAAATCTACGCATTTTTTTCGTTTCTAGAACAGATGGATGTCTTAGAGAAAGTTCTTAGCTATTTGAAAACATATATTTGTTAGTGCGCCGGTAAACTATACCGGCGTAGAACATTTAGTATTATCAGAAAACGTATTATCGTAAGATTTGCATTAGGTACTTTAACAATTATTACAACAGGTAGTTTAAATAATATTTATTATATAATACAAACAATTAGCTTTAAATCATCAACTCATAATTGATACTAATCAATAAATATATTCACTACATTTAAAATATCAAATGTTTAAATCAATGTCATTAAATGATTGATTTAAATCATCATTATTATTAAGATACATTACACATAATGATTTTGCTTCATCAGAAAGTTCTTGTCTGCATTTTGTTGATAAATGTCTAATTGATGAAATATATGGATCAGATGAAACAAGTAGCATATGGAAAAGATCTTCATTAGTATTTTTTCTAGAACTTTTACGCGTGTGGTGTTCTCTAATTCGTTTATAGTCCTTATTCCTCGACTCTTGTGCTTCTTCGGAAAGTTGACCTAAAATAATAAAAAAATATAATGTAAGATATTGAACGATTATAAAATGTATTTAAAGTAGGTAAAAGATTAATTACCGATGGGAAGAATTGCATATCGTATTACTTCAGCACCGTGTACCAATATTTTGTGTATGCTGGCAGGCATATAATACCATGGGTAAAGATGTATAAAAAGTTTAGCTGTATCTAATGCATACGTTTCAAATGCTTCTATGTTTACCTCATATTCACTAGAAATCACTGATAAAATATTTCCAAACCGTTTAAATAAATTTATATCTATCCCAGTAATTTCACAGCTTTTTTCTGGGTTTTGAAAAAACCGTCTTGCAGTGTTACCATCATTTGTATTTCCTTTTCCTAAAAAAAAAAAACAATATTTGCCTATTCTAATATTATATTCTTCTATAGTAGAGAATTTAAGCAGTTAAAATGTAAAATAAAAATGTTTACCTTGGATGACTATATCAACAAGTAAACCAATTTCTTTACGAAATCTTTCTTGAATTTGTTTTTTTGTTTCGGAAACTTTTAATTTATGTTCTGGTTTTCGGACCTAAATAAATTATATAAAAGTAAAAAACGGTTTACCTGTATTTCCAAAATGATTATTATTCATATTATATACTTACAGACCATGTTTTGATTTCCAACCGATAAGAAATATGTAATAAGCATTCAAAAAATCGTATCCACGCGTGAAGCGTAGATAGTCCAAATTTTAGAGATTCTTCTTTTACCTCAAATTTTGTAAAGTTTTCAATATTATTCATTTGGGTAGGGATACTTCCACAAATATAACATCTTTGACTAGATGTATTTGTTAATGAATTGCACACCTAAATAAACTTAAATTAAAAAAAATAATGTCCTATACACATATTGTTTATTATTATTATATACCTTTCCATCAACCATCGTAAATACTAATTTATGTGCAACTGCTATTTCTATACCATGTACAAGTACAGTTGAAAAATTTAATTGCTTAATTTGTTCTTCAATAATGTTTACCTCAAGTAAAGTGGATGCTACCGTTTCTTTTTTAAAATCAAACATTATTGGCCGGCAATAACGCGTAGATGATGTACGGTTGTTTTTCCATAGAACAAATGTTTCATTTTTTTCGTTTAAACAACGTAGGTAACTCAAGTGGTACAATAGAAAACATAAAAAGATCGCTGTCCATGCTGCAAACATCATCATTTTCATACATTTGCTTATAAGGTGATTGGCCATTACTACCGTCACAACCCCATTTGTAAAAAATTTCAAAACTATGCATATTATTTATATCATAAGTATCAACTACAGGGATTTTAAATATTCGTAATGATGTGTGGTCAAGAAGATTTTGTAAATTAATTTCACATCGTGTTTCCGATATAACGCAATTGTCTGGATAACATGGTTTTTTTTCTTTTAAAATTGAAGAATATGGTGGATAAATATTAGCATTTCGGTTTTTGGCAGACAACCTAATATTTATGTAATGCTGTTTCGTTAAATCATTTTCAACAAAAAAAGCCAAAGCTTCGTCAGCAGTAAATGGAATAATTTCAGTTAATTTTGATTTTTTAATCGCATTTTTAATTTTAAAAATTCTATTAGGTGACATTGTAGCACTTTTAAAAAGTCGGACGACACTTCTTTGTCCACTCTGTTGCATTTTTCTATTTGAGGCGTATATTATTTCTGGGGAAGTCATATTCGAAGACTCAATCGAATTAGTCATTTTTCGACGTTTAGTTCGTTCAGATGACTCGGTAAATGTTTTAGGTGTACGACCAAAATTAGCAGCTTTAAATGAGGCATTTCAAATTTAGTATTAAGCCACGCATTATGAATTTTATAAAATTTATCAAGTTTCCTATTACATTTCAAAAGCTTTCTTGATAATACTAATGAAAAATTTACAATTTCATTGTTTAGTAATGAAATATAATTACTATCCCATTTACAACCACCGCATTTTTGTTGTATGAAATCAAATATTTCTTTCCTACATTTAACAGATATAACCGATTTGCATTGAAAAGAATGGTTTTTTCGAATGAATTCAATTATATCTCGAATTAAAAACACCTTGCCACAATCATTTTCTGAACTAGCTGAAAAAAATAGAATATAAATTTACTGTAGGAGGTAAAAATCGCCTGAGGTAAACATCGCCTAACCTAACAGGCGATTTTTACCCACCAACAAATTTTACCGTGGTGGGTAAAAATCACCTGAGGTAAAAATCGCTTATCGTAACAGGCGATTTTTACCCCCCTGTATATTTTACTGTAGGAGGTCAAAATCGCCTGAGGTAAACATCGCCTAACCTAAAAGGCGATTTTTACCCACCAACAAATTTTACCATGTTGGTTAAAAATCGCCTGGGGTAAAAATTGCCTAGCGTAACAATTAATTTTTACTTGCCTAACAAATTTTACCGTAGCTGGGGTAATTTTACTACCCACATAATTGTAGTCTCTTTTCTATGATAATATTTTATAATTACTTTTAAACTAAAATTTTAAAATAATACAAATGCTGACTGGTAATCTCAAAGGTAATCCTGTGCACTGCTCACTTGAAACAGTATACCTTTATTCACGAAAATGTCCCCGATTTCAGATTTGTCCGTGCCCAATATATGCAATACATAATATAGGTAATAATACTGGTAATATAAACATAATAATACTGAATATAGGTAGATAAATTTGCCATAAATTACTTCATATTTTTTTTTTCTTGCATATGGCGTAGGTTTATTGGTGAAAAACAAAATTAAATAAACATAAAATAAAACTAAATAAACATTAAATTATCAAAGTAACGAGGACTAGAGTAGGTAGATTTACAATAAACTAATAAATAATTTTAACAATAACAAAGATAATAATAATAAGAGCTCATAATATATTTAAAGGCGAACATTGGTCTTAGACAGCCAATCCATTGCTTCGTCATCGCCCATGTGAAGTCCCTCTATTCCTCCCTTGTATCTAGTTTGGGGACATTCCTCCACAATGTGTTTGATGGATTGTATTTGCCCGCAGTCGCATAAGGGAGAGTTTTTTAACTTCCATTTATGTAGGAGGTAGTTACAATTACCCTGCTCCGTTCGTATCCTGTTTAGATTGGTCCATAAGGCTCTCGGGTAGTCAAATCCTGGGACTCTTTGGTTTGGGTCGCTTATCAGATGTCTATTTTTTGCA